ACACACACACACACACACACACACACACACACACACACACACACACACACACACACACACACACACACACACACACACACACACACACACACACACACACACACACACACACACACACACACACACACACACACACACACACACACACACACACACACACACACACACACACACACACACACACACACACACACACACACACACACACACACACACACACACACACACACACACACACACACACACACACACACACACACACACACACACACACACACACACACACACACACACACACACACACACACACACACACACACACACACACACACACACACACACACACACACACACACACACACACACACACACACACACACACACACACACACACACACACACACACACACACACACACACACACACACACACACACACACACACACACACACACACACACACACACACACACACACACACACACACACACACACACACACACACACACACACACACACACACACACACACACACACACACACACACACACACACACACACACACACACACACACACACACACACACACACACACACACACACACACACACACACACACACACACACACACACACACACACACACACACACACACACACACACACACACACACACACACACACACACACACACACACACACACACACACACACACACACACACACACACACACACACACACACACACACACACACACACACACACACACACACACACACACACACACACACACACACACACACACACACACACACACACACACACACACACACACACACACACACACACACACACACACACACACACACACACACACACACACACATAGCGAAAATAGTCAAAACGGATTCAGGGGACCCCAAAACGTAAAAATCCGTCGAAAACTCGAGGTCGAAAGAAATCATGATTCCCATACTTTTCTTATCTGTATACAGATAGTATATCATATATCATACTTTTTATCGTTAGTAGTTCTGTACAAAATATGTGTCCCATAGTCTCATAGGCAAGCAAAATTGGTTATTTGGAGACATCAATAGAAAGCGTATTATTAATTGTATTTTCTTTAATATGAATTGTTTTATTTAACCCTTATTTTGCTCCAATGTTTTATGATTAAAAATATGAACCCACCAAAACATCAAGTTGTATGTAATACAACGTTTATTTATTAAAAGTAGGAAATAATTGCAACTCAAATGTGACCAAGACGTAAAATATTTATTATTTTGTAACCTACAACCTTATATATTTAATGCGTCCTACACATAACTTTCCGGTAAAGTTATCAAATATATTGAGTACAGCCCATCTAATTAAGTGTTTAAAAAATGAATTAAAAGTGGACATTTTCGATACATATTTTATTCGAAATATTTTTTCATATCTTTATTGCCAACAAAAATATTGAGAAAATTATAATTTTGTACTTTACCACGTATTTCTCGATTTCATTTTAAAGATATGCATATAACAAAAATGATAGAGAAATACCTACATCACAAACAACTTTAATTCGATGATTTTCTCCAAATAACAGAAATATAACTTTAAGCAAAAAAAAACAAGCCTCTATAAAAAAGTACCCCATGCTTCGACTATGCCCAAAATCGAATTAGCTCTTTGCAAAGTAGATTCAAATTTATATTTAAAATGTGGTATTTTATCCAAAACATTACCGCGAAAATTGTCAAAACGGATTCGGAGGACTCCAAAACGTAATGATCAGACGAATGTTTCCTCTACTTTCGCTACTGATAACTGGAAAGTAATAAATTAAAATTATTTTTGTAAATTTAAAGAAAATCAGTAAAACTGTTTTCTCATTCATTTACAAAAAACAATTTTGAACTCGGAAACCTTTAGAGTAAAAAATCAATCAAAATATCGAAGCCCAATTTAATATATTTCTTCCCTCATATACATCTAAAAACCAAACCGACTCTGACGAGTCCGTTTGTGCTAAGCCGGCTATCGAAAGGAACCCAATTCGATGGCTGAAGGTCACCGAAATTTGCCCCAGCGTTCTTATGTAATTTTTCGAGAGTTACACTTCAGTGAATTCAGTGGTCATAGTTTGAAAAATTCCTCGCAACACAAGTTATCCTGCACCTCACAAAAAGTAGACGCGAAATGCTCGGAGAAATAAAAACGATGATCTTCTGATTAACCGTCGTCATCGTTTTGCACCATATTGATCTGGATATTCTCACATCATTATTGTTTTTGTTGCAGCTTAATAAATTTGCTAACATGAAGCTTCTAAATCAACTGAAATAGTTAAAGAAATAATAAAATAATAAAGTTACAAAGTAAATAATAAAGTGCAATGAGCACCCTGTAGGTATACATATAGCTATTTTAAAAAGAGAAGCGAACCAATTTTGTCAACAACGAATGTTCATTTCTATCAAAAAAATGGAGTTTAAACATAATATATGAAAAGTAATTATTCCTGGTGGCATTTTGCCACCACTTAATATATCTATTACCAGAGACAACAGAGACGTGTAACTTAATAGGAAAATATGTTCGGTGGTCCATTTAAATTACATATATGACCCTCTTTTTCTTTTACATTGATCTTTACATATGTCTATCTCTCTCCAATAAAACTAACACCATTTTCAGAGGGCGCTGGTGTTGCTGGTTTTTTGACGTCGAAATATCGATTAAAACTGACAACTGACAATGTTATGAATGTTGTTATGAACATGTGCATTTTATTAAAATTAATTTAATTTGGGCCCCGTATATTTCTTTGAGTCTGATTTTGTTGTTTAATTAATTTTCTTTGGGGGGAATGTTTATTTTTGCATATTATTTTTTGTATGAAGCAATTTCTGGAACCAAACTCGCGTTTTTGTACACATTTATTTCTAGAGGTAAGTAATTTCCAATTTATTAAGAAAACCACTGTATAATGTGTGTGTTTAGTAATATATTACACAATTATTTTAGGTGAATTGGAACAGAGATCCATTGTTACAGCTACTTGTGTTCATTAAGTAGATAGATGAATGTCTGGACAGCTTTAATGGCAGCACAAAGTTCCTATCTACTAGAAAAGTAAAATGTATGCTAAGTAAAAAATCTGCACATGTAGTATTGGCAAAGGACTTTTGAAATGATTAGAGATTAGCTATTTCTTACATACACCTACCTCTAACAGCCACTCTAAAGGAAGAAAAAAAATTGAATCACAAAAGGGCAGAATTTTAAATCAGGATGAATTGGAAAATAAATTTGGGGACATCAGGTCGGTTTTGGATTTTATAGAGAGATCAATCTCAAGAAAAGTTAATTTATCCTGCAGAACAACCAGTAGTTTAAGTAGGATTTGGTATAACTTTATTAGAAGATTTCCTTGATAATAAATTGTAATCTAGGTACCAATTGTTTCAAATTGAAAAAGAGTTAAATACGAAATTAGATTTTTCATGGGTAAAATGTTATATTCATTCAAACATTGTAAGGTAATCTATTATTAAGGGAATATGAAAATAGGTATACCCTGGTGGTGTAAGAGACAGGTAAGGGGCAATGACAAAAAAATTACAAAAATGTATTCATCTTTAAATAGTGTTTATTAATAATATTATTTGCTATGTTTGAAAAGTACCTCCTGTTGCAGGACAGATCGAATAGATTAGACTACTAGTTGGAGAAGGTCCACCTAGTAACTAAATTAGTAGACTATAGGAAAACTTTTACATGACTGGGGACACAACAGGAATGCACACACACAAGATGCACAAACAAACGAAATAACAGGGGTAAGCCTTCAGCAACGTCCTGTTTAAATGATGATAGTATATCATCCTTCATTCCCTTTTAGAAGGCATGGCATATAAATCTATTGATCTTGATGACCCTAAGAGGAGTTAGCAGGGGGTGTACGGAATGGGTCTAGCAGGTTTCGATCCAGTTTACAGGATGGAAACTTACTCGACTCGGGCCTTATACATTTGTGTTGAGTGTATGTGTTTGTTTCGTTTCCATCATTTCTATTAAAATAAACAGTCATAACATATCAATACATTTTTGCCAGACTAACATAAGCGACATTTGTTCAAATGGCACTTATGATAGTCTGGCAAAAAGGTATCGATATACTCTATACTTTATAAAATATTTGTTACATTAGTTTTTAAATATATTATGAATATATAACAACTGTTACTTTCTTTGTAATTTGTCACAAAATGATACGAGGTACTTTCTAAAGGAAGCAATTGTAGTTTTTTTTTCTGTACCTTACAAAAATATAATTTATAGAAAAAGAGTTTGGTGTATTATTTTTCCAAATTTAAATATTTAATAATCAATAGAATTTTCAAGTTTTTTTTAGCGAAATTTACAATAGTAATAAAAACTGTTCACTGCTTATATTAAACTGATTAAAACTTCATTTATTAAAATGATTATTTATATGATAAAAAATTTGATGTTATTGGAAGCTTTTATATTTTTTTAATATACAGTGAAGCAATAGTTTTTGTTTCTCCTGTAAATTTGTATAGAAAAACTATTTATTTCTGAATCCATGTTTGAATTTCCCGCCCTAAAGCATTTTGAATTTTCCCGCTATATACTAGTGGCGCCATCATAGACTGGTTGTGGTTACAATCGCCCAAATAACTTTTACCGAACAAAAAAATACATTGAGTTACACGTCTCGCTGGATTCTCTGCTATTACCTTTGAAGGGTGATCTTAGATAAACATATTTATAATATGACAGTGACAGAAAATACACAAACATTTTATATAAAAAAAATAATTTATTTGTTTTAACAAAACAATTAGTATATAAATAATAAAACTTATAATTTAAACAAAAAAATGGTATCAGTCAATTTAGAATTTTCCTCCAACGTTTAAAAATACACCTCCCTGTGGTTTTCCTGTGCCACCGGGCCCTCCGAAATGCCTTCCATACTGTCCAGTAACATCAGCTCCCCAATTTTTTCCTTGGGCAATATTGTATTTGACACCAGCATTGACATCATTTCCCCAACCAGGTGTTCTGTTAACACCTACAAAACCTGTAGAACCGGTGGGTTTGTGGGTATAATCAACTTGACCCCCGAATGAGTCAGGTTTAAGTCCATGTGACCCCCAGGTTTTTGATGCACCGTAAGAACCGTCTACTCTGTGGTTGTCGTTGCTGAATACGGTTCCTTTTTGACCTAAAGCGTAACCACCTTGATTAGCTCCCCATGTTACTTCTCTAAAATGCAAATAAAATATCAAAATAAAATATCTCGTCAAAAGTAATAAAAATCATTATAATTTAATTTATTAAAAGAAAATGATCAATTCTGAAAGAAAGAAAACGAAGATTTAAAAAAGAACAGAGATGAACCAAGGAATAAATGGATAAAAAGAATGGCTAAAACAAAATCAGATAGCAAAGAACTTTCTGGATGAAAATAAAAGAATCATAAAAGACTAGATAGATAGATAGATAGAAGTGGCTAAACGAGGCGGAAAGTTAAGTCACGCTTCCTAACAAAAAGGATTTAGAAATACCGAAATAAAAAGGAAAGAATGAAAACAGAAAAAAATAAAGAGAATGAAAGAAAATTGCACATCATATAACGTCAGCAGTACGTTTTAAAATACTTAGATCTACCATAAATAATCAACAACATAATCACAAAGAATATGCGATAGAGACGAATAATAAATCAAAAAATAGAATAAAGCTATAGAAAAATACAACACAGTAAACATTACATTATTTTGAAATGTTATATAGATCATAGAATAAGATAAATGTAATTCAAATCTTTCAGATGTTTCTTACCTTCTTTGCCTATGCACTGGAACCAAAACGAAATCTTGTCCATTTTCATCTTCAAAAACGTTAAGTGGCAGAGCTGTAGCTACAGCTACGAAAACAGCAAATGCAATTAAAGTTTCCATCTTTTCTTATTGATTTTTCTTTTTCAGAATTGTATAATATCTTAGATGGTAGCTAAAAGTGTACTACTTCTGATTCTTGTCAGCCAAAATATTTATACTCCTAATGTTTTGTTTCTGTTTAAGTAATTTACATATTATGATAACATATGTGTTAAGAAAAATGTAAATAACATACGAATTAATCAAGAGAAAGTCGCCGAGTAGTCTGGACTGTGATCTGTGTGGAATCCCATTCAAAATGACGCGCTTTATTACTTCACACATGCCGATACTAAAAATAATTGCATTTATTGTTCGGATTACTTTTTGATTATTGAAATTTCGTTACAAAATAGTTTTCATTCATTTTAAAACAATTATCAAATATTCTTTGCCATTTTTGGGACTTTTTTTAGGCCGGTATTAGACTATAAAAAAATATTTGACAAATATCTTTTACAAAACATTTAAAAAAATATAATGGCTAAATTACCCACTCGAATAGAAATGAAGATTGCAAAACGTAAGCATTGGAGAATACACACTTAGTTTAAAACAATTCCATCAAACGCCAGGTACGCTCATCGTTTTTCCCACAACTGACTAAAATATTTTTAGCTATATATGGCGACCCTTATAATATTCCCGCAAAGGTTTACTAGGAGTAATACTACATACAAATACATATACATTGCGCCAGTTATCTTTTAGTAAAATTTGCACACTCATCGTTTTTCCCGCCAGCTCCTCATATGATACATTCCTATGTCTATTTAAAAATAATATATTCTCTTTCACACATTTGTCAGGGAATGGGCGTTTTAAATTAAAATCATAGTCTTTCAAGTCGATTATTTTCTACATAAATGAATTTTTATGTATTTCTAAAATTCTTTTTTATCGTGTTTTCGTAGGTCTTTCTTTCTTTCTTTCTTTCTTTCTTTCTTTCTTTCTTTCTTTCTTTCTTTCTTTCTTTCTTTCTTTCTTTCTTTCTTTCTTTCTTTCTTTCTTTCTTTCTTTCTTTCTTTCTTTCTTTCTTTCTTTCTTTCTTTCTTTCTTCTTTCTTCTTTCTTTCTTTCTTTCTTTCTTTCTTTCTTTCTTTCTTCTTCTTTTCTTTCTTTTCTTCTTCTTTCTTTCTTTCTTTTCTTTCTTTTCTTTCTTTCTTTCTTTCTTTCTTTCTTTCTTTCTTTCTTTCTTTCTTTCTTTCTTTCTTTCTTTTCTTTCTTTCTTTCTTTCTTTCTTTCTTTCTTTCTTCTCTTTCTTCTTTCTTTCTTTCTTTCTTTCTTTCTTTCTTTCTTTCTTTCTTTCTTTCTTTCTTTCTTTCTTTCTTTCTTTCTTTCTTTCTTTGATTATACACAGGGCATATCCACGAAGTTAAAATTAAGTAAAAATTGAAATGAATACCAGGAATTAGTTAAAAAATAATAATGAAAATTGACTTCATTACAATTGGCAGACCTCGTTCAGCTCGTTCAAGGGATAATATAGACCGCGTACATAGAGATGTGATGGAAAGGCCTAGCACTGTGTGTGTGTGTGTGTGTGTGTGTGTGTGTGTGTGTGTGTGTGTGTGTGTGTGCGCGTGTGCGTGTGCGTGTGCGTGTGCGTGTGCGTGTGCGTGTGCGTGTGCGTGTGCGTGTGCGTGTGCGTGTGCGTGTGCGTGTGCGTGTGCGTGTGCGGGTGCGGGTGCGGGTGCGGGTGCGTGTGCGTGTGCGTGTGCGTGTGCGTGTGCGTGTGCGTGTGCGTGTGCGTGTGCGTGTGCGTGTGCGTGTGCGTGTGCGTGTGCGTGTGCGTGTGCGTGTGCGTGTGCGTGTGCGTGTGCGTGTGCGTGTGCGTGTGCGTGTGCGTGTGCGTGTGTGTGTGTGTGTGTGTGTGTGTGTGTGTGTGTGTGTGTGTGTGTGTGTGTGTGTGTGTGTGTGTGTGTGTGTGTGTGTGTGTGTGTGTGTGTGTGTGTGTGTGTGTGTGTGTGATAAAGGAAAAAACATTAAATATTTAAAAGTTTTATTTTAGCCTGAGGTGAAATGATTAGATTTTAGACAAAGTCGAAACATCTGGGGAGGAGGGTACTTTATGGGAGGCCGTTTTCATATTTTATGGAATATATCTGTTATTTATGTTTGGAGAAGAAAATTGTTTAAATAAAAGTTACTTCTAACATTATTATTTATAATTTTTTCTTTATACTAAGTTGTTTTAAAATGGTCCGTATTCGAGAAATTTGACAAAATGATGTAAAATTCTGATTTCTAAGAAAATTGTTAAACTAAGAGTTATTTGCGATATCGATCTCTATAATGTTTGTTTTTTACATAATTTTTCTAAAATGGATCGTAATAGAAAAATTGGAGGAATAGTGCTAAATTTAAATTTTTCATTATTTTCGTTTTCGTTGAATACCTATAAAAAAATGTTTCGAGTTAGATGTATGTGGAAAATATATATATATATATATATATATATATATATATATAGATTCGTCCTGCCGACGTTGTGACATCATGTCGCAAAAATGTTGCTATCTTTATAACATCCGTCTGCGATGTGACATCCAAATTCGGATGTCACAACGTTTTTGGGGTTCAAACATCATAAAGTAGGTTTAAAAGAGCGCCAAAAAAATTTCAGCTGGATGTCATAATGCTTAATTTTCAATTTTATGTATATATTTAGTTCCAGTGTATAGATGCGAAGGTGGCGCTCGCGTCAGTTGGTTTTGTATATTTTGTATATTAAATATTTCAGTCCCTCGACTGTATCACATCCACCATTAAGTATATTAGAATTTACTCACTCGACTCTCTGACATCCAACATTCAGTATATTAAAACTTACTCACCCGACTATCTGACATCCACCATAGAGTATATTAGAACTTTACACACTAGGTTATGTGACATCCAAAAAATGTATTTTAGATATATTTGGATTTTCATTTTAAGATCTATTTTATGTTAACACATTAACTGCCAAAAATTTTTGTTGGGTTTCGCACAGAGCCAACAAGCTTTTTAAATGCATTCACTCTCGGAGAATATTTAATAAATATATATTATATGCATCTATATTGATACAAGGTGTATCAACAATGGGTGAGTGAACGATGAATAATTTATATTAAAAGAAATCACACGAAATTAAATTAAAATATTATTAAAATAAAATAAATTAAAATAAATTAAAATAAATTAAATTAAAATAAATTAAAATAAATTAAAATAAATTAAAATAAATTAAAATAAATTAAAATAAATTAAAATAAATTAAAATAAATTAAAATAAATTAAAATAAATTAAAATAAATTAAAATAAATTAAAATAAATTAAAATAAATTAAAATAAATTAAAATAAATTAAAATAAATTAAAATAAATTAAAATAAATTAAAATAAATTAAAATAAATTAAAATAAATTAAAATAAATTAAAATAAATTAAAATAAATTAAAATAAATTAAAATAAATTAAAATAAATTAAAATAAATTAAAATAAATTAAAATAAATTAAAATAAATTAAAATAAATTTAAATAAATTTAAATAAATTTAAATAAATTTAAATAAATTTAAATAAATTTAAATAAATTTAAATAAATTTAAATAAATTAAAATAAATTAAAATAAATTAAAATAAATTAAAATAAATTAAAATAAATTAAAATAAATTAAAATAAATTAAAATAAATTAAAATAAATTAAAATAAATTAAAATAAATTAAAATAAATTAAAATAAATTAAAATAAATTAAAATAAATTAAAATAAATTAAAATAAATTAAAATAAATTAAAATAAATTAAAATAAATTAAAATAAATTAAAATAAATTAAAATAAATTAAAATAAATTAAAATAAATTAAAATAAATTAAAATAAATTAAAATAAATTAAAATAAATTAAAATAAATTAAAATAAATTAAAATAAATTAAAATAAATTAAAATAAATTAAAATAAATTAAAATAAATTAAAATAAATTAAAATAAATTAAAATAAATTAAAATAAATTTAAATAAATTTAAATAAATTTAAATAAATTTAAATAAATTTAAATAAATTTAAATAAATTTACATAAATTTAAATAAATTTAAATAAATTTAAATAAATTTAAATAAATTTAAATAAATTTAAATAAATTTAAATAAATTTAAATAAATTTAAATAAATTTAAATAAATTTAAATAAATTTAAATAAATTTAAATAAATTTAAATAAATTTAAATAAATTTAAATAAATTTAAATAAATTTAAATAAATTTAAATAAATTTAAATAAATTTAAATAAATTTAAATAAATTTAAATAAATTTAAATAAATTTAAATAAATTTAAATAAATTTAAATAAATTTAAATAAATTTAAATAAATTTAAATAAATTTAAATAAATTTAAATAAATTTAAATAAATTTAAATAAATTTAAATAAATTTAAATAAATTTAAATAAATTTAAATAAATTTAAATAAATTTAAATAAATTTAAATAAATTTAAATAAATTTAAATAAATTTAAATAAATTTAAATAAATTTAAATAAATTTAAATAAATTTAAATAAATTTAAATAAATTTAAATAAATTTAAATAAATTTAAATAAATTTAAATAAATTTAAATAAATTTAAATAAATTTAAATAAATTTAAATAAATTTAAATAAATTTAAATAAATTTAAATAAATTTAAATAAATTTAAATAAATTTAAATAAATTTAAATAAATTTAAATAAATTTAAATAAATTTAAATAAATTTAAATAAATTTAAATAAATTTAAATAAATTTAAATAAATTTAAATAAATTTAAATAAATTTAAATAAATTTAAATAAATTTAAATAAATTTAAATAAATCAAAGTTAATACATAAAAAATATGATGAGCTAATTCATAAAAACGACTTCAAACGATCGTCGTTCGTGCATCGTCGGTGCCTTGCCGTATAGAGTTAATAGTATATTTAAGTAGCTGTGCGATAAATATTGATGTACGCGGATTTTATTTCTTTTTTATTTTAGAGTGAATTAATCTAAGAAGTTTCACTCTTTTTTTAATACTTAGTTTTTTTATGCTTCTGATATGATTCCAAATAATCTTACTTAATGGTTCTTTCGCCATTTATAACCGAGATACAGGTAGTTTTATTACCTTTTTTCATAACTTACCAACCGCTATTATGTTATTGAAATTTGGCACATGTATTCTCTATAACTTACCATAATCTATTAAGGCATTAATAAGAAACACAAAACAGTTTTATCTTTTTTAAAAAAAAATTATAAATTTGTCCATCCTTATAAGAACA